CTTTCCTAAGGGGCTCAAACCATGTCCCAAAGGTCACCGGATCTGGTGTCAATTTAAAGAAGCAGTCCAGTTACACATTTGTGGGCTTATAACTTGGCTTCTGAATGTCCTAGAGAAATCAGGTTTGTTTTAGTATACTCCAATCAACAGCCCCTACAATCACAAAAAGGAATGGAGTCATTAGCACTTATGGTTTGTAAATGGCACCCAGAATTATGTTGCACGAAGCACAATTTCACATCATTCTGGGTTCATTTGTGTGAAAACAAGGTCCAATCAGGCTGAAACGTTACAGGAAGGTAGAATCTATTGAGTTGTAAGTGATCTGAACGTTTCATGGTGATAGCACTTTCCTAAGGTGGTCAAACCATGTCCCAAAGGTCATTGGATCTGGTGTCAATTTAAAGAAGTAGTCCAGTTACACATTTCTGGGCTTATAACTTGGCTTCTGAATGTCCTAGAGAGATCAGGTTTGTTTTAATGTACTCCAATCAACATCCCCTACAACCACAAAAAGGAATGGAGTCATTAGCACTTATGGTTTGTAAGTGGCACCCAGAATTATGTTGCACGAAGCACAATTTCACATCATTCTGGGTCCATTTGTGTGAAAACAAGGTCCAATCCGGCTGAAACGCTACAAGAAGGTAGAATCTATTGAGTTGTAAGTGATCTGAACGTTTCAAAATGACTGCACATTCCTATAGGGGGTCAAACCATGTCCCAAAGGTCACCGGGCCAAGTGTCACTTTAAAGAAGTAGTCCAGTTACACCTTTGTGGGCTTATAACTTGGCTTCTGAATGTCGTAGAGAGGTAAGGTTTGTTTTAGTGTACTCCAATCAACAGCCCCTACAACCACAAAAAGGAATGGAGTCATTAGCACTTATGGTTTGTAAATGGCACCCAGAATTATGTTGCACGAAGCACAATTTCACATCATTCTGGGTCCATTTGTGTGAAAACAAGGTCCAATCAGGCTGAAACGTTACAAGAAGGTAGAATCTATTGAGTTGTAAGTGATCTGAACCTTTCATGATGATCGCACATTCCTATAGGGGGTCAAACCATGTCCCAAAGGTCACCGGGCCTGGTGTCACTTTAAAGAAGTAGTCCAGTTACACCTTTGTGGGCTTATAACTTGGCTTCTGAATGTCCTAGAGAGGTCAGGTTTGTTTTAGTGTACTCCAATCAACAGCCCCTACAACCACAAAAAGGAATGGAGTCATTAGCACTTATGCTTTGTAAATGGCACCCAGAATTATGTTGCACGAAGCACAATTTCACATCATTCTGGGTCCATTTGTGTGAAAACAAGGTCCAATCAGGCTGAAACATTACAGGAAGGTAGAATCTATTGAGTTGTAAGTGATCTGAATGTTTCATGATGATAGCACTTTCCTAAGGGGCTCAAACCATGTCCCAAAGGTCACCGGATCTGGTGTCAATTTAAAGAAGCAGTCCAGTTACACATTTGTGGGCTTATAACTTGGCTTCTGAATGTCCTAGAGAAATCAGGTTTGTTTTAGTATACTCCAATCAACAGCCCCTACAATCACAAAAAGGAATGGAGTCATTAGCACTTATGGTTTGTAAATGGCACCCAGAATTATGTTGCACGAAGCACAATTTCACATCATTCTGGGTTCATTTGTGTGAAAACAAGGTCCAATCAGGCTGAAACGTTACAGGAAGGTAGAATCTATTGAGTTGTAAGTGATCTGAACGTTTCATGGTGATAGCACTTTCCTAAGGTGGTCAAACCATGTCCCAAAGGTCACCGGATCTGGTGTCAATTTAAAGAAGTAGTCCAGTTACACATTTGTGGGCTTATAACTTGGCTTGGTACCACTTTACAATAAGGCTCCCTTATAAATGGCTAATAAATGGTTTATAAATGTATTATTAATCCATCTATAATGCCTTATATATGACTAATTAATGTTTATTATGCATTAATTAAGGGTGAGAAAGAGACTAAACCTACTAGTTTTTTGCCAAATAGTGAACCAAATCTGTTGACTTATGTACTTTATCTAGACTTCATATATTAAACATTTCAAACTAAGAACCTATCTTTTAAGCACTATTAGCATTTGTAAACACAGTTTTGGGCAAATAATTAATGTACCTTATAACTGCATTATAAATACTTACAATGATTAAAGGGAGCGCTATTGTAAAGTGTAAAACATGTCTTTATTTATTAATGATTAATTAACATTTATAAATACAAACTGGAGCCTTCTTATAAAGTGTAAAACATGTCTTTATTTATTAATGATTATTAATGATTAATAAACATTTATAAATACAAACTGGAGCCTTATTGTAAAGTGTAAAACATGTCTTTATTTATTAATGATTAATAAACATTTATAAATACAAAAGGGAGCCTTATTATAAAGTGCAAAGCATGTTTTTATTCATTAATGATTAATAAACATTTGTAAATACAAACTGGAGCCTTATTGTAAAGTGTAAAACATGTTTTTATTTATTAATGATTAATAAACATTTATAAATACAAACTGGAGCCTTATTGTAAAGTATAAAACATATCTTTATTTATTAATGACTAATAAACATTTATAAATACTAAAAATTAGTCTTAAATGTTTAAATTTGTTAAACTTCAGAGTTACACTAAATGCTTAAAATATTTGTACAAACCATGTTAACTACTGTCAAAAATGGTCATGTATTGTAAGTGTAGCACATTTAACATCCAAACTCATCAAACACACCAAATACCCCCTCCCTAAAAAAAACTGTTGTAGAAGAGATTCAGGTTAAACTGGGAATGATTTCCATATGTCCTTGAATAAGCGTCCCAGTGGTCCATCAGGATGTTTTGAACCAAGCCAAGATGACCATTCGAGAACTTTAAGATGTTCCTCCAACAACATCTCTGTACGATTTCCTCTTAGTCTGCGAATATGTCCTTTAATTGTCATCCAAGCTCTTTCAATATGTTGTGTATGACTGCCCGAGTGAGGATCAACAAACCACCTGCTGTGATTTACTGTGTAATGTTTGTACCCCATGTTTGTCAAGACATTCTTGTAGGCTCTCCACTCATCACTGATAATGGCACTACCTGACTTAACATGCTGTCTGATCAGAGGAACAAGGTGACGCCTTGTTCGTTTCTCTACAAGTTTTAACACGAGCCTTCGCCTTTTGTCTTTCACTCCCATCAGTCCAAAGACCCATTTCTTTCTTTTCCAAGCATTTCCGAAGCGTCCACGTGCATACTGAAAATAAAAAAAGATTAAGGTTAAACAGAATATTTACAAAGTATATTCTTAAATGCAGTTTGCATCTTAACATTTTAATTGTATTGCTGTTATTAAAGTAAATTGTATTTTAACTTTATTAACAGCATGACAAAGATGTTGAATAAAAAAGCTGTTTTCTGTCATTCATTTCCTTTATGGATTAATTGACTACTTTTACAAACTTTAATTTAGTTAAATTCTGACTCAAGTGATTCAAATCATCATAGTAATTGATATAATAATATGTTTATTAACAGATTGTTTTTGTTTGGTTGTAACAGTTTTACTATATTGATTCTTAAATGTAATGGTAAAAACTTAAAACTTATATGTTTAGGGGACATGTTCAGATCTGGACTGATAATAACAAAGGGGTCTGAGAGTTTACAACCTTTCGCTGATGACGGAGACAGCTTTCATCCATAACCACAAATTCTTTGTGACCACCAAGACAGTGCCCTTTATTTACTCCGTGTCTTTCCATTGCACTGATGCAGACTTGTCGAATACGCTTTGCCATGGCACTTAATGTTTTGGAGCTGCCAGCCACATCATCATCAATCATATCTATCTGCCTGAGCCTGAGCCCTTGTGAAAATCTGCGACAGAAATGAAAACCAATCAAAACTCACTGAGGCCCTATTATTAACTGCTATTCCTGTTGACATTTATACACACAGGCTACCTGTAGATGAACTTCATCCAACTGAAAAGAGAAGATTTTGATTTCTCAAAGAGGGAGCCAGTTCTAATTGTTCTGGAGACTTTTCTATGACTTGCTCTTTTGCAGCACCTGAGAACAAACCAAAAAGTGAGGTAAATAAATGAACCTATAAACATTATCACAAAATTATATTAAAAAATAAATAAGTATTGAGATAAAGTTAGCACTGTGTCTTGCTTTTAAAATTTGAAGGGCTGTTGCTCTATCCCCGACCTTCCTGAATGAGCCGAAAGCCACGCCTCCTAACGTGCACATGCAGGGAAAGCCGAGTCAAGTGAGAGAACATCTGAAATGTAGTGCTATTGGCCAATGTGGTAGGCTTGCAGAAATTATTAGTTTAGCTGTAAAGCCAGGGGAGGGACTTAGGAGAAAAATAAAATATGAAAGATCACACTTTTTCTCATAGAACAAGGTCAGATGGTCAAAATTATTTTAACAATTCCAACTTACGTACCCTGCCTTTAATATCAGAATGTGATGTTAAATGTTCTACATTATCATGCATTCATACCACATAAATTGGTCTTTCTTCACCACAGATATCATTTTCATCTTATGGTGGCAAACAGGGCATCTCAGCTTCTTCTTTAGAAGGTGTTTCTTTTGCAGCCATTTAATCAGCCTCAGAGTCTTCTTTTTAGTTTGTTTTCCCTCTGTATGAGTGCGCAACTTCATCCCAAGAGGCATTCTAGTAGGAAAAATTATAGATTTATTTAATTATATTATTACATTGAAATACTGGTATCTTCAGAATGTCATAGGTAAAAAAAGGTCACTGATATAGCAACAGATCAAGTCTTTGTATAATTCTCAAAGCATTCTTTGAAAAGTCAAGGAAAAATGTAAAACCATTAATTTGACCAAAAAATTCAACACACAAAAAAAATCAAGATATAAACATTTCTAGTTCCAGTTTATTTTACTTACTTAAAAAACACAGCACATACAGTTACTAACTGTATTGCCTCTGCAATCTATTTGTGTTGTTTTTTTTTCTTTTTACAATACACAGCTCAACAGGAAGTAACACTTGCTAAATAAAAACCTGAATTTATAATTATGTTGACTTACTAAGAATGACCAAAAAAAGAAAGATAAATGGGTTTTTAATAAATATGTTAATTATCATTATTTATGACTACTCTTCCCTGCAAGCGAACTTGTAAATGCTGATAATTTTCAAAGAAAAATGTAAAAATGGCTAACACAACAGGAACAAGAATATTTAGTTAAGTTAATACAAAACATGCTACATTTACACAAAACATTTTCATTCTTAAAAATGATTTTTCTTCATCAGCTAAAGTAATATTTAAAAGTGAATTATAATTAAAAGAACAACCCTGCATACAAAAAATAAAACAATTTGCTTACCTCTTATAGTGCATTGGACTCAGTTATGAAGCGTTTCCCGCTGGATTTTTAGGTTGCATATGAAAACTAGCCATCGTCGCGCCAAAGGGAATAAAACGAAAATTAGCCATACAGAGATGAGCTTAGTGCAAACATCCAATCACAGTGAATCTTAATACGGAAGTCCCTCCCATCGGTGTGCGTCGGAGCTGAGGTGGATCCACCAGTCAAACCGACACGGACTGACGCTAGCTACGGCAGCGCCATGGATGGACATGAAGAGAAAGATTCCTGTTCCACTGCGACACCTGCGGTCATCACGCGTTCAAAGAAAAACAAAAAGCAGCGACTGGATAACGTTAACACTAAACCAACGCTGTCAACAGAGAAACGTGATGGTGAGGAATGTTTTAATGCTAACAATGAACCATTTGGCTGCTACAGTGCCTAGCTATCTCTGGTACTATTAATTATTACGAAAGTGACACCTCACAAAGTTTTATATTTTTTAATAGTTAGTAAATGTATATACATTTATATCATTATGAATAACCCCAGTGTGGTAACATGGAGGAATAATTTATTTTGTTCTGGAAGTGTCTGCTCTACAACAGGTGTTTGTCTCAGAACTTTTTTTACATTTGTATTGTTACCATTTAAAGTAGATATTTTTGTTTCTGCTGTCATTTAGTTTGCCTAGTTTAGATTAGAGATTCTGCTACTGTTGTTAATGTGTGTCTAAATTTTGTCTTTTTTAGATACTTCTTCTGGCCTTGCCCCTACTGCAACTGTGCTTCTTAATAAGGAGAGACAGGAAGTTGCTTTTCTTAAGGAGAAGCTGGAGTGGCAAAAGATGAGAATTGAAGAACTGGAAGGAGAGAGGGATTTCCTCCGAAGTCAGCTATCATCTCTGTCAAGTATGACATTAAACTAGTTTCATAAACATTGTTTAATTTTAGATTATTGTGATAAAAATCAGATAATTTATAAATATACATGAAGATCCCTTATTGTCACTGTGTTGATAAAAAAAATAGTTACTCTTTGGTGTTATGCCAGTTAACTCTTAAAAATAACTTGTTCTAATTGGGTTTAAACCTATTGATTAATTAATTGGCATGTATTATGCCATTACCTATTATCTGTTTATTATCTGTTTTCTTACAGTTGTCTGTGCTCTCACGAATAAATACATTTTCATTTACATACTTTAATAATTAATTTAAAATACACATTTCGACATCAAAGTGTTCATTTAGATGGTTTGTAGTTGTGCCACTTTATCTCTTAGTACCAGCAACTTAGTTTTCCCCTTTTTCTCCTTTAAACACCACGGTAATAGGTAATTACTGCCAATTATTGACATTTAATGTTGTATTGGACAACAACACTCAGTCATTATACTGTTTTATTATTCTATAGTCTACAAAAATTAGATTTGCCCAGCCACATGTATATTATTTCACTCAGAAGGGTGCATCATTCTCATTCTGTCAAAGCACATAAGCTGACAAAATCATCCATTGTGTAATGAAATGAAATTGGCAGCTACTTTGCATGTTTGTTTCACTCTGTGTTACCTGATATGTGTTAAAAAAAATCTAAATTCATCCATTTTTTTCTGCAGCGCAACCTAAAGACGAACCATTAAATGATACGTTTATCAACAATCCTTCTGAAAACTTGGATTCATCTTCCACATCTTCATCTGCATCATCTGAGTGGTCATCCTCATCCTCATCTTCACCCCCAAAGAAGCAAAAGCGCAAATTCAAAAACAAGCATTCAAAAGCCAAGAAATACAAGAAGGAGGAAAAGAAGTTCCGGCAGCGTGGTGAGCAAAATACTTGTACAGAAGATATGTAGCCTGGCCTGCCAGACTCCTCCTCTGTTGAATTCTGCACAGAGAAAGAGTCTGGTAACTCTCCTATGTAAATAACCCCACCCCCCTGAAAATGCTAACCAAACCAATCATCACTGAGCAGCGTATGTCACACACACAGTGAAGCTCAAATTCTCATAAACAATTATGTCTGAAGCGGAGTTCACCGCGGCTCTTTCCTCTGTTGTAAAAGACTTGGACATGTCTTTGAAACCACAACAAGAACCGCTAAAAATCTTTCTTCTAAAGAAAGATGTTTGCGCCATTACCAGGCTCCATTTTTTACTACAGCTAAAAAAACTACTGTGTCACATGGTACAGTTGGCATTTCCACCTTTTTTTTTTTTGATTGGTCATTTTTGAGCTGGCTAATCCCGCCCCTCATGTGCCTCTCTGCCTGTGAGTTACCAGACTCTCTGTGCAGAAGTCTAGTCTGGCAGGCCAGGCTAGAAGATATGTTCTTTGGAGATAAAATTACCATTTAAACATTTTCTTCAAACTACATTGTATTTGACACCAAACTTGAATATAAGGTTTGGACTGATGCGCATTTTTAGAAATGCATACACACACACACACACACACACACACACGTATATGCATGTGTGTGTGTAAATTATAGTAACAGATTGTATTGTGTGCCATGAGCATTTGTTTCTAACAGTTTTCTTTGTTTTAATTTGATTCTCAGTCCGAACACCAAGTGAGATTGTGCAGAGATACAAGTCCCTCCTCAAGACATTTCCAAAGATGAAGACCTTGTCCAAAGCTTTTCAGAAGCATGGGATTGACAGAAACACAGTTGTGTCCACGGCATCAGTTGCTGAGCTCGCTATCGCAGCTCCTCTTGTTTACCAGGAGCTGATCTCCAACAAGCCCAGTGGAGAGACGGTACTCCATTTTGCTAAGCGATGTGAGGAAGAGATTCAAAGCAATGATGAAGTGAAAAACAAAATAGAAAGCATGAAGGCTGATGGTACTTTGCTTCCAATTCGAAGAGGCAAGTCTGTCTGAAAGCCTACTCAGTTATCTGACTTGTTCTGTTTCAGCATATTTAGCTATAGAACAGATGTGTGTGAAACTGGTAATTTTTTAACGATCTGTTCAGTTATGTGTTCAGTTTCCACACAACAAAGATTTTTCTTGTCATTTTTGTTTAGAAGGTTTTGTGTGTCCTAAGAGTAACCAAAACAACTGCACTTGTTAAGATAGAGTATTGTCTAATGTTATAAGGCAGCTTGTTATACTTTTCATAGTAAGGCCCCTAGTCTTCAAAAAGTTTACTGGTTATAAATAAATGTTAACTAGTTTCATACTAAAAAAGTTTCATTTTACATTTAAAAATGTTTAAGAGTCATTAATAAACACTGATATGTTTTATACTTTACAATAAGGCTCCCTTTTGTAATTATAAATGTTTATTAACTATTAATAAATAAAGACATATTTTACACTTTACAATAAGGCTCCAGTTTGTATTTATAAATGTTTATTAATCATTAATAAATAAATACATGTTTTATACTTTACAATAAGGCTCCCTTTTGTAATTATAAATGTTTATTAACTATTAATAAATAAAGACATATTTTACACTTTACAATAAGGCTCCAGTTTGTATTTATAAATGTTTATTAATCATTAATAAATAAAGACATGTTTTACACTTTACAATAAGGCTCCAGTTTGTATTTATAAATGTTTATTAACTATTAATGAATAAAGACATATTTTACACTTTACAATAAGCCTCCCTTTAATCATTGTAAGTATTTATAATGCAGTTATAAGGTACATTATTAGTTGTCCAAAACCTTGTTTACAAATGCTAATAGTGCTTAAAAGGTAGTTTCTTAGTTTGAAATGTTTAATATATGAAGTCTAGATAAAGTACATAAGTCAACAGATTTGGTTCACTATTTGGCAAGAAACTAGTAAGTTTAGTGTCTTTTTCATCCTTAATTAATGCATAATAAATGTTTATTAGTCATATATAAGGCATTATAGGTTGATTAATAAGACATTTATAAACCATTTATTAGCCATTTATAAGGGAGCCTTATTGTAAAGTGGTACCCTTGGCTTCTGAATGTCCAAGAGAGATCAGGTTTGTTTTAGTATACTCCAATCAACAGCCCCTACAACCACAAAAAGGAATGGAGTCATTAGCACTTATGCTTTGTAAATGGCACCCAGAATTATGTTGCACGAAGCACAATTTCACATCATTCTGGGTTCATTTGTGTGAAAACAAGGTCCAATCAGGCTGAAACGTTACAGGAAGGTAGAATCTATTGAGTTGTAAGTGATTTGAACGTTTCATGATGATAGCACTTTCCTAAGGGGGTCAAACCATGTCCCAAAGGTCACCGGATCTGGTGTCAATTTAAAGAAGTAGTCCAGTTACACATTTGTGGGCTTATAACTTGGCTTCTGAATGTCCTAGAGAGATCAGGTTTGTTTTAGTGTACTCCAATCAAAAGCCCCTACAACCACAAAAAGGAATGGAGTCATTAGCACTTATGGTTTGTAAATGGCACCCAGAATTATGTTGCACGAAGCACAATTTCACATCATTCTGGGTCCATTTGTGTGAAAACAAGGTCCAATAAGGCTGAAACGCTACAAGAAGGTAGAATCTATTGAGTTGTAAGTGATCTGAACGTTTCAAGATGATCGCACATTCCTATAGGGGGTAAAACCATGTCCCAAAGGTCACCGGGCCTGGTGTCACTTTAAAGAAGTAGTCCAGTTACACCTTTGTGGGCTTATAACTTGGCTTCTGAATGTCCTAGAGAGGTTAGGTTTGTTTTAGTGTACTCCAATCAACAGCCCCTACAACCACAAAAAGGAATGGAGTCATTAGCACTTATGGTTTGTAAATGGCACCCAGAATTATGTTGCACGAAGCACAATTTCACATCATTCTGGGTCCATTTGTGTGAAAACAAGGTCCAATCAGGCTGAAACGTTACAGGAAGGTAGAATCTATTGAGTTGTAAGTGATCTGAACGTTTCATGATGATAGCACTTTCCTAAGGGGGTCAAACCATGTCCCAAAGGTCACCGGATCTGGTGTCAATTTAAAGAAGTAGTCCAGTTACACATTTGTGGGCTTATAACTTGGCTTCTGAATGTCCTAGAGAGATCAGGTTTGTTTTAGTGTACTCCAATCAAAAGCCCCTACAACCACAAAAAGGAATGGAGTCATTAGCACTTATGGTTTGTAAGTGGCACCCAGAATTATGTTGCACAAAGCACAATTTCACATCATTCTGGGTCCATTTGTGTGAAAACAAGGTCCAATCCGGCTGAAACGCTACAAGAAGGTAGAATCTATTGAGTTGTAAGTGATCTGAACATTTCAAGATGATCGCACGTTCCTATAGGGGGTAAAACCATGTCCCAAAGGTCACCGGATCTGGTGTCAATTTAAAGAAGTAGTCCAGTTACACATTTGTGGGCTTATAACTTGGCTTCTGAATGTCCTAGAGAGATCAGGTTTGTTTTAGTGTACTCCAATCAAAAGCCCCTACAACCACAAAAAGGAATGGAGTCATTAGCACTTATTGTTTGTAAATGGCACCCAGAATTATGTTGCACGAAGCACAATTTCACATCATTCTGGGTCCATTTGTGTGAAAACAAGGTCCAATCAGGCTGAAACGTTACAGGAAGGTAGAATCTATTGAGTTGTAAGTGATCTGAACGTTTCATGATGATAGCACTTTCCTAAGGAGGTCAAACCATGTCCCAAAGGTCACCGGATCTGGTGTCAATTTAAAGAAGTAGTCCAGTTACACATTTGTGGGCTTATAACTTGGCTTCTGAATGTCCAAGAGAGATCAGGTTTGTTTTAGTATACTCCAATCAACAGCCCCTACAACCACAAAAAGGAATGGAGTCATTAGCACTTATGCTTTGTAAATGGCACCCAGAATTATGTTGCACGAAGCACAATTTCACATCATTCTGGGTTCATTTGTGTGAAAACAAGGTCCAATCAGGCTGAAACGTTACAGGAAGGTAGAATCTATTGAGTTGTAAGTGATTTGAACGTTTCATGATGATAGCACTTTCCTAAGGGGGTCAAACCATGTCCCAAAGGTCACCGGATCTGGTGTCAATTTAAAGAAGTAGTCCAGTTACACATTTGTGGGCTTATAACTTGGCTTCTGAATGTCCTAGAGAGATCAGGTTTGTTTTAGTGTACTCCAATCAAAAGCCTCTACAACCACAAAAAGGAATGGAGTCATTAGCACTTATGGTTTGTAAATGGCACCCAGAATTATGTTGCACAAAGCACAATTTCACATCATTCTGGGTCCATTTGTGTGAAAACAAGGTCCAATAAGGCTGAAACGCTACAAGAAGGTAGAATCTATTGAGTTGTAAGTGATCTGAACGTTTCAAGATGATCGCACATTCCTATAGGGGGTAAAACCATGTCCCAAAGGTCACCGGGCCTGGTGTCACTTTAAAGAAGTAGTCCAGTTACACCTTTGTGGGCTTATAACTTGGCTTCTGAATGTCCTAGAGAGGTTAGGTTTGTTTTAGTGTACTCCAATCAACAGCCCCTACAACCACAAAAAGGAATGGAGTCATTAGCACTTATGGTTTGTAAATGGCACCCAGAATTATGTTGCACGAAGCACAATTTCACATCATTCTGGGTCCATTTGTGTGAAAACAAGGTCCAATCAGGCTAAAACGTTACAGGAAGGTAGAATCTATTGAGTTGTAAGTGATCTGAACGTTTCATGATGATAGCACTTTCCTAAGGGGGTCAAACCATGTCCCAAAGGTCACCGGATCTGGTGTCAATTTAAAGAAGTAGTCCAGTTACACATTTGTGGGCTTATAACTTGGCTTCTGAATGTCCTAGAGAGATCAGGTTTGTTTTAGTGTACTCCAATCAAAAGCCCCTACAACCACAAAAAGGAATGGAGTCATTAGCACTTATGGTTTGTAAGTGGCACCCAAAATTATGTTGCACAAAGCACAATTTCACATCATTCTCGGTCCATTTGTGTGAAAACAAGGTCCAATCCGGCTGAAACGCTACAAGAAGGTAGAATCTATTGAGTTGTAAGTGATCTGAACGTTTCAAGATGATCGCACGTTCCTATAGGGGGTAAAACCATGTCCCAAAGGTCACCGGATCTGGTGTCAATTTAAAGAAGTAGTCCAGTTACACATTTGTGGGCTTATAACTTGGCTTCTGAATGTCCTAGAGAGATCAGGTTTGTTTTAGTGTACTCCAATCAAAAGCCCCTACAACCACAAAAAGGAATGGAGTCATTAGCACTTATTGTTTGTAAATGGCACCCAGAATTATGTTGCACGAAGCACAATTTCACATCATTCTGGGTCCATTTGTGTGAAAACAAGGTCCAATCAGGCTGAAACGTTACAGGAAGGTAGAATCTATTGAGTTGTAAGTGATCTGAACGTTTCATGATGATAGCACTTTCCTAAGGAGGTCAAACCATGTCCCAAAGGTCACCGGATCTGGTGTCAATTTAAAGAAGTAGTCCAGTTACACATTTGTGGGCTTATAACTTGGCTTCTGAATGTCCAAGAGAGATCAGGTTTGTTTTAGTATACTCCAATCAACAGCCCCTACAACCACAAAAAGGAATGGAGTCATTAGCACTTATGCTTTGTAAATGGCACCCAGAATTATGTTGCACGAAGCACAATTTCACATCATTCTGGGTTCATTTGTGTGAAAACAAGGTCCAATCAGGCTGAAACGTTACAGGAAGGTAGAATCTATTGAGTTGTAAGTGATTTGAACGTTTCATGATGATAGCACTTTCCTAAGGGGGTCAAACCATGTCCCTAAGGTCACCGGATCTGGTGTCAATTTAAAGAAGTAGTCCAGTTACACATTTGTGGGCTTATAACTTGGCTTCTGAATGTCCTAGAGAGATCAGGTTTGTTTTAGTGTACTCCAATCAAAAGCCTCTACAACCACAAAAAGGAATGGAGTCATTAGCACTTATGGTTTGTAAATGGCACCCAGAATTATGTTGCACGAAGCACAATTTCACATCATTCTGGGTCCATTTGTGTGAAAACAAGGTCCAATAAGGCTGAAACGCTACAAGAAGGTAGAATCTATTGAGTTGTAAGTGATCTGAACGTTTCAAGATGATCGCACATTCCTATAGGGGGTAAAACCATGTCCCAAAGGTCACCGGGCCTGGTGTCACTTTAAAGAAGTAGTTCAGTTACACCTTTGTGGGCTTATAACTTGGCTTCTGAATGTCCTAGAGAGGTTAGGTTTGTTTTAGTGTACTCCAATCAACAGCCCCTACAACCACAAAAAGGAATGGAGTCATTAGCACTTATGGTTTGTAAATGGCACCCAGAATTATGTTGCACGAAGCACAATTTCACATCATTCTGGGTCCATTTGTGTGAAAACAAGGTCCAATCAGGCTGAAACGTTACAGGAAGG